GAATGGAACATAGTTCTGAAGATTTGTTTCTGATGCTATTTATGTTTATGTAACACACAATACTGTTTTTATTGCATGTCTCTCTCACCTTCTTCAAGCCATGAAAGCTGTTGTTGCCATCCGGATCCTCGTCCGATGAGTTGTTTCCATGGCTTACAGAACTCGCCTCCGAGCGCGGAGAGCTATATAAGGGGAGAGTACTCTGCATATCATCACTTATTATGTGTATTGCATCGGAGTCATCTGCATCATCACGGTCATTAAAAAACGAGTCTGTAAAAGGGGGCAACAAACACTTTAAGGAGTACCAGTCTGTCAGTGGTGAATTACTCAGACTAATATATTCTCGCTCTGGCTTGTCTAGACATTTCCTGTGATACCATACTTCACAACCCTCGCATAAAATGGCTTGTTGGTTTGAACGTACGGATTTCGTGCAAGTTCCACAAGGATATCTAATGGGTCCAGGATTAGACGATACATCACCAGATAGTAAAATTGACAGTATTAAAAATGTGTTTGCTTCACGATAAATGTTTGTGGTTGGATTTTGACGGGGCGTAGATAAAGTTCTATGATGAGTAGTACTCACGTTAGCCGAGTTCACGGAATGTTTATAAAGTACCAGTTTTTCTCCTCCGTAGGATGAAGGTTCCCTATTTTCACTTAGTAGGTACGCTGCAATGTTCACTGGATGTATTTCCGTTGAGGAATGAAGTCACTAGAGCGATGACAACGCTTATCTAAGCATAGTAACAGTGACCTTGACCTTCAGCATAGAAACCCAAAACGAGAACCTATTCAATGCATTGCCATACCAACCACTTGTATGAAGTTTCATGAAATTCCGTTGAGGAATGAAGTCGCTAGAGCGATGGCAAAGTTGTTTTTCTAAAACTAGTAACAGTACTCTTGACCTTCAACTGAGGAACCTGAAACGCAAATTTATTCAAAGCATTGCCATACCAAACACTTGTATGACGTTTCACGAAATTCCGTTGAGTAATCAAGTTGGTAGAGCCATGACAAAGAGTTAACATAAGCACTTACGAACGCGCGGAATCCTATAGGATATCCCCTGGAGGAAATAATGACCTTGTCCGTTGCGGTAGATTGCCGGCGGGATGAACATGTATATGTTCTATTAAAATCTATTAACAATATTACTTATCTGTAAATTATGATTGAGATATCCTAGTGATTTGTTTATCTTCAGGAGAGGTTTTCATAATTCCATAAGATAGCTGATGCCATTAGCATTCAACATGTGGAATTAAAAGTATGACCGAAAGTGGGGTTTTGGGGGTACTAAAAGGGTAGGATAAATCACAAATATAATTTGCTGTTTTCAAAATGAGCTTAAAAACCAAAATAATACCATTTCTCTTTTTGGAAACATGTGTAAATTAAACAGGCATAAATAAAAGAATAAAAAATGGGGACCGATATTATCAAATGCAATAAGAACAATGCAGCTACAAGAGGACATGTGTAGAAACTATGGAAACAGAGAACGCAATTAAAAAACCGTATTCTTTCACAGAACTGTTAATTTTTAGTCTACCATTTGGGACTACAAATCCAAATGTATCTCATCCAGAACTATTATAAAATGTAAAACTATTTTTACGTTGTAGTGTAACCATTGTTTGCTAGTAAAACTGGCAAAAACTGTTAAAAGCCTATGCTAAGAACATGATCTGTTTGGTCTTCATTTAAAGTAATTATCGTTCCTGTGAGTGTGGATTTTTAAGCAAAATAAAATAAAATCCTCGGGCAAGCCGTGATATATGTTACGTAAATATTTTCTTCTTTTTAAAATAAAATAGGTCGTAGCTAAATTAGTTTCCCGTCATACATAGTATTTGTTGTTTATACATGACATATGTGACCATTTGTTACACACTTTGAATGTGTTTCTAAGAGATCATTACAACCTTGCGGCAACAAGTTAAAAGGAAAATGATTTTGAAACAATGACATTTTATGCCGAATAGTTATTAGCAATGAAGATACATGTACTATCTACGGAAAGAACAGAACGCCCTCCCCGTAATGTTATGAGGTAGTTAATAGATTATCTTCAAAACCTCTTTGTAAAACGCCTCTAGTCAAACATTAAACGACGGATCTATTTGTACCAATTAACAACACTTAATGGAATACGGCCTTCAAATACTTAACTTTCTCTTGGCGTAGTTGATTTCATTAATCAGACTTCTCATTTTCAGACATTCTGAGGAACTGTGAAGTGCATGTACACGTATGCAATTTATTAATGAATTAGATGTAAACATGCCAATCTGGTCATTAGTGGTGCGTACCTGTTGTGGGTGTGAGGACACATCGTCATCTATAGCACACACTGGTCAAGCTATCAATAACAGACTGACGGGTTTACGGACGGACGGACGAACGACCGACGTTCTTCTGCATCTCATCTTCTACATCGTTTTTGTTACAAAGAGTATATATCCTATGGCCTCTTGGAACGGCATTGTAACGTCCTGACTCAATATTAAGAGTTTGTGCTTGCATGCTATATTTACTCTAATTGTTCGATACTAGAATTTCGGGGCTTCGTTAAGTAAATTTGAATTTGAAAGTTATCAACAAGGTTTTTGTATAAGTCGCATTTAGAAGATTTATCAATTGCCCACGTACAACGTAATTCTCGAATAAATGTACCATGCAAGCGTTGCAAATACAATTAAAAAAACTGCCTTCCATTTTGTACATCTTGAGCGATCCAAATATGGTTAAAATCATTTCTACATAAATCGTTTTTTAACCTTATGAATCCACTTCAATTTACTCTTTGACTTTCTGATGGTTAACTCAAATAAAGCATCATAACATGATTTTAATACACAATTGTTTGTGTTTATCAATTTTAACCAATACTACATAATAGTTAGTTTACGCTGTACATGTAATGAATACATGCCCGTTTCAAAATACACCATAGAACAATTACGGTTTTCTAAACAGTAAATTCTTCATTCAATGTTTGATAATGACCCCAAACCTCACAACCATAATTATGTATACACGTTACATACGTGTCAAATAGTGACATTTGAGTTTCAATATTAAGCATATGATCCTAAATTCTGTTTTTCAAAAGATAATAAGCTTTCCTTCCTTAAGATGCTAAAGTATTCTGAGCTACCGTAAAACTTCCGTTATAATAAAAGACTAATCTTATTAATAAAGCTGATTTACAACCTCTATGGTCCTTTCGTTAAAATTTCCAATTTTCATTAGGTAATATTCGTTTGTTTTTTCTAAAAGTAACTGTTTTTTTTTCTGTGTGATCCGTGAAGCTCCATTTTCAGTATAAGCTTGTAAGCAATTTAACACATTTTGAAGATCGTTTACATCTTCTTAAAATTTAACTAGAAATATATTTAATAGTTGTAACTATTAACTCTGGCAATTAGAATGAATAAGAACACTTTCCATATCATTAACAAAAAAAGAAAACAGCATGGGCGATAAAGCCTCCCCTTGTAAAAGTACGAAATGTTTATCGAACATAGCAGGAAATTTTCCGCTTAATTTTGTAAAAGATTTAGAATTTTCGTAAATGTTTTAATTACATTCAGCAACCTACCTCCAACTACACTTTTCCATATTTGAAGCCAAAGTCTGTCATGAGTAGGCCTTACAGAATCAAAAAATTTACTATAATCAACAAATACGCAATAAAGTCTTTTATTTTGGCTTAAACCTAAATAGGGTATCTATCACCACATACTCTGATTCGCTCCATTTCAGCAGTCTACTATTTCACAGGTTAGTGAATAATTTAGATACATGACTAATTGCAGTTATCCCCCTATAATTCTTGACACTGTTCTCATCTCTCTTTTTATATAAAGGAACAATTTCACCCTGTGCCCAAGCTTGAGTGAAATGTCCTACTTCCAACATATTATTCAACAACTTATGCAGAACTGGTACACAAATATCATTATATTCAAGTTAATATTCATTTAGTATCAAATCAATACCTGCTGATTTAACAACCCCACCATGAACTATACATGTACACAACAATACTTTCATTCCTGAGATATTATTGTATCGTACCAAAGACATTTTTAACTTGTTTTATGTTATTTTTACATAAAAGTAATATAAAACCCGGGATGGTTACGTTAACATGAACTTATAAAGTAATAGTCGTCGGGAATTAGGGTTGAAGTCACATAAATGTAACGCAGATGGTCGGAGAAAAGGCATGGTCCTGGAACAGAATTTACCGGTACAAAATTATACAAATCTTTCCTGTTATATTATTCATCTGTAATCGACGCTTGTATAGAAGAGATCTATCAGAAAATGAGGATGAAAGTATCATTTTAATTATTTTTGGCGTCGTAATATTGTCCATACTTTACACATTACCAGAACGACATAAGTGATATAAATCAGAGACTTTCTGTGTAATATCTACATACAGGACATATGCCTGTTCGTTTTGAGTAAGTTGACATACATTTAGACGTAAGGTATGTGGCGTTCTATTTGAGGTAGACATAAAGGACATATCCGTGACGTTTTTTTTGACGCTGTTTGAATTAGCACTTTAAAACCAAAACTTTTACAAGACGATAAAAAATGCAGCAGCTGTCAAAGGCTAAATATCAAAAATGACGCTGATTATAATGCAATGAGAATTCTTCTTCTTGGCGAAAACAATTTGAACCGTTCAAAAACGTCCCTGTTGAATATGTAATGATGACGTATCATTATTGCAAGGGGAAAGCTACTGAGCTAACAACTGAGTTATCTTCTATCAAAGCTAGAAATAAATTTTAATGGACCTTACTTAAGACATCCTACGTAATATAATAGGTTCTCCAGACGGCATGCACCTGGAGGAACTGTCGCTTGTCTCTAAAGACCAGTCAGCTATTGGTCAGTGTTGTAGACAGATTTTACCTATATAAGAAAGACAAATAGCGCATGCAACATACACAGAAAAGGTGAAAGTCGAACGAACTAGCACAGAACAGCTAGGATGGTGGTCCTAAAATTCCTTCTGTGTACTGTAGTTGTTTTAGGTTTGTCGGAATTGGGTGAGTACCATTTTATTTATATTAACAATCACTCGTTACTTTAAAGCATGGGATCAAAGGTGTACTATGCAATTAATTACAAGTGCCGTGCTTGTTTTCGACTTAATTCTTTTATCTATGAATTTAATGAACAAGAAAAGATTACATTTAGCTATTGGGCGGTGCCAACTCACTCCTTAAAAATAGATAATAATAAAACAACTTTGTAGCACTCATATTTTTAGTAATGCGTTAATGTTACAATTTTGTCTATTTAAGTTGCATTTCAATAATTTTGTTACAGTCTATATTACTTATTTGAACTTCCGAATGAATTTAAAACCCATTAGATTATATTTTGAGATTTGCTCTTTCAATTTGGAGTTTATTTCATCAATATCAGCTGTAGTTGACATTTTATACTTGGGCACATGTTACATTTTTTTTATAATTTAATTATTTCAAAAAGATTAAATGACGTCAGGATCAGAATTAAGCTGTTCTTCCGAAACTGGTATCCATGAAAACATCTGTGTTACATGTTCATTGAATATCTCAAACGAATAGTAACTAACCTTTTCCTTATGCATCTAATAACCGATATCAGCCAATTATTCAACGTTTATGATGGTATACAACACCATTCTGCTCAACCATAATCCATAAATCGCGAAGACGAATCTAAGAGTATATATTTGAACGAAACTCTGTTGGAAATGTATTCTTTACAAGTTCATAAAGAAAAAGAAATTTATTTTTCATCTGTCTGAATGGTTTCTTTCGGTTGAAGATTTTAAAACAACTTCGTGTTTAGCAAAAGGTTGAACAGCCCTTTTAACGGGATAAAGAACGACGAACGTTTTCTATGGTTACCAGTTCCGTCACGTGACACAAGCTATTCAATCGGAAGCCATTCGGGAAATTCCGATAAAATAGCATTTAACGCCTGGCCATGATTGTTCCTCGATCACTTAAACTATGACAGAAAAAACCAAACAGTTTCCTATTGATACATTTTAATTTAACAATTCTTGCTGTTATTGTGTTATTTTTAGATGGTAAATTTATTCAAAGGCCGTACAACGGAAATAAATATATACCAACAGGAGTATTTGATTTTATTGTCGCTGTATGAAAACCTCAGGTTGTTTTAGCAAGCAGGATTAATGTATTTCTTAAAGCAAACTTGAATATGGCGCAATTTGTTTTTAATTTAACGATACAGGATGTATCCATCTATTGATTTTATAAGTGGTTTCAATATACTGATAACTGCTATTTGTTGGAAGCATTTGGATTCCGTCGTGTTTGTTACTACGATGGCATGGCGGCAGAACGAAGTGGTTTAAACGCATATACACCAGATATGACTGATCCTTTCCTCTGCACTCACATCGTCTTTGCATATGTCGTGGTGAGAAACAACAATAGTACCTATGAGCTGTACAGTCCTGGCTCTTCTGACTTACAAAAGTAAGTACAACACACATAGTATAAGTCACATAGCAGTGTCGCTTAGTGTCGTTAATGCAACATTTAAAATGCCGAAAACGTAAACACTTAAAAATGCATTGTAAGACAATGTATAGAATGAGACCATATATTTTTACACAATGTACAATTTAGAATAAGTCAGTACAGAGTATCCTGAAGATGTACCACATGGACACAAACATGTTTTTATGTGCGGTTGACACTGAAACATAGCAAGTGTATGTTTATGCCCTGGTGTTACACTTACATTGATAAGTATTTAAGCATTGAACTGTTTTCAGTTGGCATTTATAGCCAATATGAATGACAACTTGACAAAAGCAAATTCAATGAAGCTCGCTAGTGCTTCATGATGGATTTGCCTATGTCCAGTGGGATTTCAAATTGCCTTTGAAGGCCAACTGAAAGCAGTTCAATACTTATCTTTACCATTTTAGAATATGTTTATCTCATAAAAAAAGATCAATTATACTTATTATTTCTCAACGTTAAGATCTAATGATGTATGTACCAATATTGCCTATATGAATGCCAACAAAATTTGGTTGGGTTATATAGTGGCAATGACATACGATGGTAAATATATGTTGATAAGTATATGTTTATGTCCCGATGAAGGTCAGTTTTTCTTTTTCGTCTTTCATCCACGGAAGACGAACGGCATTATGAAAAGTTATAAACTATTTTGGTTCAAATTGTTTCAAAATAAGACAAAGGCCGAGATGAAATACACTGAGGCTGAAATCGTCGGAAAGACTAATTTCCTAGTTGAAAATATTTTTTTTTGAGCTCGATGGTAAGATTTTTCTGTTGGCATTCCTACGAGAACAAACTGTGCATGTCTCCTGACCGAATTGTGTTGGTGCCTATCAGGTTGGATTTATTGAAGAGATTATCAGTACATATGTTACAACAATTTTGCCAAGACCTGCAATTTCACTTTCAATTACTACATATGTAGATATATCAACGATATATTGTCTTTCCTTCACAAGAAAACGCTGTTCTTTGACCATGTCGATCGTGTTTACCCTTCTGAATTTGAAATCAAGAATCAGTCATTTACCTCGGTCTTTACTTTGAATGTCATGATTTCCGTGATAGATGTCGACTGCTATCTGACAAACTTACAGCACACGGTTTCGACAGATGCAGGTTGACGATACACAAGGGCATTTTATGGTCACAATCATGTCTCCCTGAGGAATATGATATTTTCTATGGAGGTCTATAGTTTTTATTATGCTAATTAGTATATAACTACCCCAGTTTCCGCTTTTCAGACGTTACAGTACAAAGATTCGACCTAGAGTTACACGTCAAAAAGACCATGCAACCCTCCTGTAATTGTTCTCTGTGGTAATTTCACCTTGCTTATATTTTGTTCTATTTTTATCAACTTGGAGGTCAAATAATGGTTTTGTTTACACTTTGGTATTTTTTATTCTTTTGTTTTTTGTTTGTTTTTATAATTTTAACTTATTACGATTTATTTGTAATTAACAGACGAAATAGGGAGACAAACATGAAGAAATATACATCATTGTTGTTTCAGTTATGGTTTATTAACCAATCTCACAATGGCCAACCCTGAGCTGAAAACACTGATCATGTTAAAAGAAGAAAATGTGGGAGATTTAAAAGCGATGACATCAAACTCGACAAATCAAGAAGCGTTCATCAATACCATTATTTCCTTCCTGAAAACATACAATTTTGATGGCTTTGTTCTTGAATGGGAAGGCAGTTCTTCTGGATTCAAAGCAATGAGCACGGTAGATATAAGTTGATTATATTTTGTAAAATATAGAAAAGATTTTTAATACATTTGAAACATTATGAGTGTATATTATTGGCTTTATAAAGAACTCTCCTTCATTGTAATTTTAAGTTCTTGTTATCATTTTTATGTATGAAAGTAGCTTCCTGTGTATGTCCTTGTTGACATTATACTGTATTTTTCTTGTGTATATTAGTCTATGAGCTCCTTGTTGACATTATATTGTAGTTTTCTTCTGTATATTAATCTATGAGCCCCTTGTTGACATTATATTGTAGTTTTCTTGTATATTATAGGCTATATGATCATTGTTAACATAATATTGTAGTTTTATTCTGTATAAAAGTCTATGAGCTTCTTGTTGACACTATATTATAGTTTCATGTATATATTAGTCTATGGGTTCCTTGTTGACATTATTCTGTAGTTTTCTTGTGTATATTAGTCTATGGGATCCTTGTTGACATTATACTGTAGTTCATGTGTATATTAGTCTATGGGTTCCTTGTTGACATTATACTGTAGTTTCTTGTATATATTAGTATATGGGTTCCTTGTTGATAATATTAAATATTAGGCTATGAGCTCCTTGTGGACATTATACTATAGTTTCTTGTATATATTAGTCTATGAGCTCATTGTTGACACTATATTACAGTTTCTTGTGTATATTAGTATATGAGCACCTTGTTGACAATACTGTAGTTTCTTGTGTATATTAATTTATGAGCTCCTTGTTGACATTATACTGTAGTTTTGTTGTATATATTTGGCTATGAGATCCTTGTTGACGTTATACTGCAATGTATTTTTTGGAACACAGGAACTTCGCGAAGCGTTTGACCTAGATGGTACTGGCTTGATGCTCGTGTGTAATCTCTTCGGCCCTACCATTGACGATTTCAACACAAAGTATGATCTAAACACTGTCAAGGAAACAGTAATGTGAGTAATACGGTCATTCGTGATGTAATGTTTTAATTTGTTCTGAAACTTCATTTATTACATTTACGAGAAATGGTTACAGCAAACAAGTATGATACATGTATGACAACACAGAACACATATATCCTGTGTAATAATATAGTAATACACACATCCCCTGTACAGTAATGTAGCTAATACAGTGCGGTAAACGCATCCCTGTATACATATAACAATATAGTAAACACTTCCCCTGTTTAATAATGTAGTAAACACTTAAGCATAAACAAAAATGTAACTGCGTTCAGTTAGCATTCATAGGCAATACGAATGCCAACTGGACAAAGGCTAATTAAATGAAGCTCTAGCGCACTTCATGTTGGATTTGCCTATGTCCAGTTGGAATTCATATTGCCTTTGAATACCAACTGAAAGCAGTTCAATACTTATATTTACCATTTTTGGAATCTGTTAATCTCATAAAAAATCAATTACACTTATCATTATTCAACATTTATTCAAATAATGTATGTATAGTGTATTCTTGTTCAATGAATAAAACAACCATTGCCCGGGGAGGTTCAGTGGTATCTAACGTAACAACAAATTTCGAAACGATCGGATTCAAAATGGCCTCTAATCAGCCATCTTTGACTTTTACAAAAGAAAGTTTGTTATCACTATTTCCCACCAACGTACTAAGTGGTTTCTGCATGTATGAAGTTTTCCATTGATGAGATTTTGAAGTAAAGTGAATATTGTCCGTGGATCTATATTTTGTACTTGGTGTATTGATTTATTTCCAGTATTTCAAGATCAAAAATGATCGCTGCGAATTCTGCTTATCGAATATGGGGAATATGCATGGTCAGGTGTATAGCGGGGCCCTTTGGGACCTGTCAGTGTAGTGTTCTATATTATGAAATATAATATCTTGTAATATATGTAATACAATATTAATGCATTTTGTTATTTCTATAGGAACTACGACTTTATCACGCTGCAGACCTACGGTTTGATTGAGGACTATTCGTCTGTCGCTCATCACAGTCGCAGAGTAGCGAGAAGCGATGCCACTGGAGCGTCCTTTTTCCTCAACCTTGTAATCAATATATTTTTTTAATCATTGCAATGCATTCGATGCAAATTAATTTGATAATTTTGAAGTCATTTACGCGTAATTGATGTATGATATTTGTTTGATTTCCAAGTGAAAATAGTTCATTTATCCAAAAAAGATACATTCGAAAGAGGTTTGTATAAAGAGTGCAGTGCTACATACGATACGCCTTAAATATATCTAACACAGTAATAACACTCCGGGGATATAATCAGTCAGTAATAACACTCCAGGGATATAAGAAGTCAGTAATAACACTCCGGGGAATTAATCAGTCAATAATAACACTCGGGTATATAATCAGTCAGTAATAACACTCTGGAGATATAGTCAGTCAGTAATAACCGTCCGGGGATATAATCAGTCAATAATAACACTCGGTTAAATAATCAGTCAGTAATAACACTCCAGGGATATAATAAGTCAGTTATAACACTCCGGGGAAATAATCAGTCAGTCTTAACACTCCAGGGATATAATAAGTCAGTTATAACACTCTGGGGAAATAATCAATCAATAATAACACTCGGGTATATAATCAGTCAGTTATAACACTCCGGGGATATAATCAGTCAGTAATAAACGTCCGGGGATATAATCAGTCAGTAATAACACTCCGGGGATATAATCAGTCAGTAATAACACTCCGGGGATAACATAAGTCAGTTATAACACTCCGGAGATATAATCAGTATACAGTTATAGAAAGGATATGAGGTATATAGCACATTTATGGTCCCCCGAGGTAAAAAACTATTTCCAGAGGCTACAAAACCGCCGAGGGAAGTAGTTTTTCACCAAAGGTGACCATACATTTGCTATTTCCTGAATTACCCTAAATTTGTTATTTCTTGAATTACCCATTCTATGACTGTTTTATTATAACGAAACAATATAAGGCAGTTTAACAAATGAATTACTTAATTCATTTCTTTAAACAATTTCAAAGAGAAACAAAAAATATTGGAAGTGCTGTATGCATCGTCGTTGATGATATCTTCCTTTCTAGCATTCAAGAAATGTTTTTGTAGACCGTACCTAATAGTCACCATTGACTTCCCAGCATATTTAGTCCAATCCACTTTTTAAAGTTCTGCATAATAACTGCGAGGACACACGTTCACCTCCTCTGTGCTTGCTCTGCCCTAATCGTCGACGCTTCCGGCATTCCGTTCAGTTAAATAAGTTTGAATTAAATTCGCTGCAGTCTTAACAACAGCTTTTGTATATAAGCGTCACCTGCGTCACGCAGAAAGCCCCGCCTACCAAATGTTTTCATTGGTTGACATGTTTTAAGCTCTGCCTACAAATATTCATGAGGGAGTAGTCCTCTTCCTGGCAGGGAGTAGTCCTATTTTGGGGAGGGTGTAGCCCTCAGATGGAGATATTTAAATGATATAAGGGAAATTTGACATTTTATCGTATTGTTTGTATATAGGTAAAATTCGATAAAAATCAATAATTACATTCCAGGGATATAATCAATCAGTAATAATATTCCCAGGACAATATCAATTAGAACTAGCATGATCAGGATGTAACTAATTAATAATAACCTTCATTGGATACAATCAATTAGAACCAACATTTCTGGGATTTTAATAAATCAGTTATAGCATGCACAGGATATCACAAACAAGTTATACTATTCTGTGGATATAACCCATCAACAATTACACGCTAGGTATAAAATAAATTAGTACTAACATGCCAGGGTTAAACCGGGATATTTATAATCAGTGATAACACGCTCTGGATATAACCAATCAGGAATGACATCCGCGAGTGATAACAAATCAGTAAAATATTCCCGATACATAATCAATCAGTAATGATATTCCCGGGATATATTCAATCATCAATGACAATAGCGGAAATACCCAATAATGACATTCCAGGGATATCACCAATCAGTAATGAAATTCCCGGGATATAACCAATTAGTCATGACATTCCCAGGATATAACCAATCTGTAATAACATTACCGGGAAAAAACAAATCAGTAATGATATTCCCAGGGTAAAACAAATTAGTAATGATATTCCCAGGATATCACCAATACATAATGACATTCTCGGGATATAACCAATCAGTAATAACATTCCCGGGAAAAAAACCAAATCAGTAATGATATTCCCAGGGTAAAACAAATTAGGAATGATATTCCCGGGATATAACCATTCAGGTATGACATTCCCGGGATATAACCAATTAGTCATGACATTCCCAGGATATAATCAATCAGTAATGAAACTCCCGGGGAAAAAAAATCAGTAATGATATTCCCAGGATAAAACAAATCAGTAATGATATTCCCAGGATAAAACAAATTAGTAATGATATTCCCAGGATATCACCAATACATAATGACATTCTCGGGATATAACCAATCAGTACTGACATCCCGGGTTATAACAAATCAGTAATGAAATCCCCAGGATATAACAAATTAGGAATGATATTCCCGGGATATAACCATTCAGGTATGACATTCCCGGGAAAAAACCAACCAGTATTGACATTCCAGGATTATAACAAATTTGTAATGTCATTCCCAGGGTATTACCATTCTGTAATTCAGTTCTCGAGGAAAAGATCAATTAGTTTAAACATTAGCGGGATATAATAAGTGATTTTTTCAGCAAGTTATAATCAATTGGCAATGACACTGTATATGTATGCCGGGCACCGTCGTGTTTTTGAATTCAATGCGAATATATTTCTCATTCCTTTCAGAAAGCCACAGCTGACTATTTCAGTTTTCTTGGAATTCCCAAATCAAACATGGATATTGGCATTGCCACCTCTGGATATGGATTTACATTAGCGAATATTTCCAGTTCTGGTATAGGATCACCAACCACTGGACCTGCGAATGCGACGAATGCTACTCAGTTGTCTGGTATCAGGGGATACTTTGAGGTATCTAAACATGTGTTAAAATTGTTGTGTTGTATCTCTTTCTTGTGACGTGTATATGCATAAAGTTAAACTATAAATACAAATATATTTTCAAACATAATAAACACAATTTCAGGTCTGTAAATCCATCGAGGATGGTAGTGGTACAAGTTCACGGGATGAAGATGCACCATACTTACTCAAAGGCAGCACGTGGATTGGCTACGACGACGTCGAAAGTATCGAAGAAAAGGCAAGTTAAGACATTTGCAATAATTTTATATGGAGAATCACTGTTTACGCTGCCCATAAGTAACAGGAATAAAGGAAACTGAAGTCGTTCCGTCTGTGCAGCTTTTTATTTCTCGAGAAGAAACGTACACACGAATATAAGTGTTGTAAAAAGAATCATAAATGTACACAATCAATGCCTTAGTAAAGTTTGAGCTACACCGAAATATATTTTACATTACGGTACTTTTGAACATATTTATGTAAATGGATATTTAACTTCATCAGCTTTAAGTCTTGTCATTGTCTATAGTTATATGGTCCAACTCTGGACTCCGGAGGACGTTCAGTACGTTTACGTTCTACTGCTCCGGCTATTTGCGCGATTCCGCGACTTTAGACTTGGTTTTATTAAAAAGTGGCTCCCTTAATGCACGACATTATCACCAGTCACACCTGGACACGTACTCAAAACATCACCCAATATGGACAAACACCGACACAACCGGACAGGTACACACCAAATATGGACATACACGTCAAGGTACGGACAGTATCAAACATTCATCGGACAGAACACAGACAATAGCCATATGAACTTTCCCTAACAGGACACGTGTACTGGACCCAAACAACCTTGCTTTAACATAAACGTTCTCGTGCATTTAATAAACACTAAAATACACACACATATATTTATCTATATAAATATACTGTCGTATTTCCATGTGACACATAAATACACTACGATACACTTTTAGCAGTCAGATAGACTTAATTTCACATAAAAATTATCGCAATTGTCGTTTGACATCACATCACCAACTAAAAGTAGGTTCTAAGTAATTATACAATACCGATATTTTTATCTCTACTCTACATTTGCATCTTTATATGTTAGTCATAATGTTGAGACCCAAACGAAAAGCTATGTAAAGACATTAGAAGTATTTTAAGAACATAAGACTTTGGGGACACCAGCGTTTTGTTTTGATGTCTCCTGGGTCATGTTATTATCTCGATCTTTCCTTGTTGTCTCCTGGGTCATGTTGTTGTTTAGACTTTTCCTTGTTGTCCCCTCAGTACGTTTGTTATTTAGACTTTTCCTTGTGGTCACCCGTCCTGTTTAGACTTTTCCTTGATGTGTCTCGGCCCTGTTGTTGTTTAGACTTTTCCTTGTTGTCCTCTCGGTCCAAGGTGTTAGTTAGACTTTCGTTGTTTTTCTCAGTTCCTGTTTTTGTATCGACTGTTAAACATTTAATTGATTTTATGTTTTGTGTTTATAGGTGTAACAGACATAATATTTATGCATGTATTGACACAAGTTTTACTTTTATTAAAGCAATAAATACATACTGACATTTACATGAAGTTAGATTGCAAAGAAATATCGAATTTATGAAGTATATTTCAAAAGAAAACAATGAGAAATAAAAGTCTAAATAATTACTGCAGAAAACCCAATACATATAAAAACAGTACTTCCCACGTCCAATTGTTATGCAAATGATCTTCAACTACTAATTCTTTAACAACTCCCAATGAAAGTTTTAAATGCCCTACGCAAATACGAAACTACAAATGTATTCCGTGTCCAAACCGGACACCAGTAGGATGTGCGCACTTCGAACGTTCTCTTTTCTTCTCGGAGAAGCACATGGCGTTTTTTTTTCTTGAGTTAATTCACGTCTTCTGAGGGCGGTAACGTGATCATCTGTTTATCAATTCTTCGTTTACTATACTAGTTATCCCTGTTATAGTTAATTGGTCTTGTTTTGCCCTTTTCACGGTATTTTTCGTCGTAAAACGTCCGTACCATTGCCACACGTTATGGTTCGCATTCGTTATCGTGTGCGTTTACTGTAACTTTTTGTGAATAGAGTTCATTTTATTCACAACATAAAGGCGAAATTCTTTGTTTATCGTGTTTTTTGCGAACGAAAAAGGACTCCTCCAAGTCTGACAAACGGGGAAGGAGGAAAGACAAGGCTAGCGAGTGGCGGTTCACAATTTCCTCCTGGTTAGGGTGTTCCCCCATATTACCACTTGTCAGTTTCGTCAGTATGGGGGTCACTCGTTCCCTTCTGGTTCCATAGTTCCATTTTCTCAGTTTTTTTTGTACAACTCGGGTTATCCTCCGGGATTTCATCAGGGTTGGGGACTGGTCTCATCTCAGCATGTTGGGGGCACGCTGAATGCTCACCCCCCCCCCTCCCCGAAATCTCTGAGTCTGTGGAGAAAACTGTTTTAAAAGGCTTATTAGGGCTTTAGCTTTTAGGACATCTCGCTCTAAGGCTTCCGATATCCCCTCCTCTCGCAGGTCTTCAGAGTCTAAGCTTTGCCCTATGGAGCCAAAGAGAGCTCGTAAGAGGACTTTCTTAGAGAGTCTCCAGAACTCTACCTTGATTTTAACAGTAGAGGCTTCAATGTCTACCTCCAGGCAGGGTTCACTGACGTGGAGATTGGGGACCGGGACGATGACGTCATCGGCCTGTCATCTAGGAGTGTGCTGACTGAGTCTCATTCAAAAACCCTTTCATCTTGTTGTTATTTGGATTCTTCTGAATCTGGAGACGATGAGCACTAGGTAGAGCCTGAGGTTTAAGCAGAGGTCTACCGTGCTCTATCTGGTATGCCGGCGCTTCGCGATGACGTAGCAAGAATCCTCGGGGAGTAGATTTGTCCTTCTCCGGCGTTTGTCATTTCTTTAGCTAACACTGAGCTGCGTCAGCTTGTTCCACCTAAGGTTTCGGCTCGTTCCTACAAGTCTTTGACTGAGGGTTCTGTTGTTTCCTAAGATGTAATTGTCAACCATGATAGGATGGTAAAGTATGCTGTTTCCTCCTCTCGTGCATCTGGTGCAGCTAGCCTGCAGTTAGGTTTGGTAGATTTGTCTAAGGTTAAGCCCTCGAACTACGCCAATCACAACGACAAGCTTGAGAGTCCACCAGATATGCTGGAAACTAATGAGCTTCTGCAGTGGCCATGGCTGGCGACTGATCAGGTGGTGTTTCTGTCGAGGAACACCACAAACTTGAAAAAAGTCTGCGGCTTTCTCTCCAGATGCTTTTCTATTTCGGTTTCCTGACGGTAACCCTCTTCCCTTTAATAGAAGTGCCCATTGGAGAGTTAAGGAGGACCCAGGAGCCTCAGCACTTTTAATTTCTAAGGAACCACCCAAGTCTCGGGTCCGGCAAGGAAGAAGGCTAAGTCAAGGCCTCGCTAGACTTAGTCTGTGTCTAAGGCTAAGTTAGGGGGAGTCCTAAACCACCTGGGGCAGCTTTCCTTCCTTATTCCTTCCTTCCGCAACTCTTTGGTCTCATTTCGGGCAAGTAGATCTGGGAACATCCGCTCATCTACCCTTTTTACCAAAATTTCAAAGGACTATAAGTTTCTATAAATTTATTCATTCTTTTGTTATTTTACAAGTTTATGATGAAATTCAGGTCTGAAATCGGTATCATAAAAAATGTATAACTCTATATGCTGGAAAATATACACAAACTTATGATAAATCGAAGAGATATGCCTATTTCCTCAAAGCTGTGATCTGCTAGTGCGCGAGTGCAACCGTGTACTGTCATGACGCGTCCTCAGGTATTTTTTTTATACAGTTGGCTCTATCGACAGCCTGTGTCTATTAACAGTTTATTGTAAACAGCCGAATTTATTGCCATGGGTTTTGATACATGCGTTACACGATAAAAGCAAAATGCTTATTTCGCGTTATTTCTATCAATTTAAAACAAATCATATGCTGTATGTAACACAAGATCGCACAACCAGTACCAACAAGTTTTGAAAGGATTTAATTTTGATTACTACTGCCTGCGTCATGCCGTTACCTGTTTTCTTACAAAACACACACTTGATTTTGTTCTTCCTGCACCTTTGAATGGCAAAAATACATATAATTTTCGAATAGCATGGTTTACACGTGTATTTCGCTCCTAACTTTGTGCTGCAGTCTTCCTGCATTTTAAACAAATGAGAATGTCATCGACGATGAATTTTCCCGTACTTTTGGTGATATGTTTGCGATACTAACAGTTCATTTCTTTTGCTTGGCCTTATTTTATTCTGACGCAACAATCCCACATATTTTGTATTTCAGCATCTTTGTGTGTGTTTAGATAAAAACTGAAATAAATAGTGCCAATTGGAGGTTAAAACAGTTAAAACATAAATATAATTTAAAATGATGCCAAAGCGTAGCTGTACTTGACACGTGTACATGGATGTGTTGCCATGATCCCGTAGAAGATTAATCAATAGAGATGTTATTAAAAATAAAGAAATGTTTCCTTTGATTTGAAAAAATAATTTATTAAATACATGCCTAAATATTAAAAGAAAAAAGGAGACAAAAAGAAAAAAAAGTGAATCTGAACTTGGATTCGAACTTGAACTTGCACCGTTCACTTCGTCTGGTCACAAACTAACTGCTACACATTCTGCTACATCGGACATAGACGAATATGGAAAAACAAACTGTTTTAACTCCAGATACATGAGCAACTTGCTCACCCCTGTTTTTTTTTTTTATTATTTTGACCATCACTTTCATAGATATTATATAAACAAAACCTAATATCTCAGCAGTTCAAAAACTCCTATTCAATTGGTTTTATATATATTCTATGCATTTTCGCTAATAGAAATTATTTCTATGAATGTTTTTTCCCGTTTTCATAAATGACAACTAAGAGAAATATGGGCAGTTATTTGCCATAGCTCTTTATTGAATTTTCACCGTTTCGCGCCCGCATATGTGACTTATGTGAAACGGCCAAAGAAAGTGGAAAGGCCTAGCGGTCAGTCTTGTGTACTTGTTTCTTTATTCTATAGTTTCTTTCGCAAGAACATACTTCTTTATTATCTAATATTTTATAAATTTGTTTATGTCATCGAATTATTTTCTATTATTTAGGCAAAATGGATAGTTGAGGAGGGCTATGGTGGCGCGGCGATATATACATTAGGTGACGACGATTTTAATCAAGATTGCACCTCTTCTGAGGTACCCTTTCCACTCATCAGCACTGTCAAGGATGTATTTGAGGAGGCTACCGCTCCAAAAGGTGAGTTTTTATTTGGAAGTATATATGTATGAGAGTTGATATACGACTGAGTCATAAGGACTCATGTTTGCCGATTTTGTAATTAAAATAAATATGGAATGATTTCTACTAGCTGTTTCGTATAAACGTGAACTAAGTACTTGATCTTTCTCTTTGACAGAGTACAGGCGTGTGTGTTACTTCACCACCTGGGCGGAGCTTCGTACGGGGGCTGGTAAATTTACAGCCGATGATATAGACCCCTCTCTGTGTACCCACATTGTTGTCGCATTCGCTGAGATTTCAGATGAGTGCGAACTTGAAGTTTCCGACGTAAACGACACACTGATGTAAGAATAATATATATAACCGCTCGCACGCATACACACACATATTTCTATATCTATAATACTCGTTTGAATTTAAACTTTTATTATGATTTAATTTCACAGATCCACATGATAGCAGTCCTTACTTACTAAGCATCTGTACCTAATCACGTATTAATTTTAAAAGTACTGGAATATATTAACTAAGGAATAAAAAATGTTTAATTTAATAAGTAGTCGAAAACGACTAACATTGTGAATATGGGAAAATGTGTAACTTTGTAAGTACTGGAATATATATAACTTTGTAAGTAGTGGAAAATGTAAAACTTCGTAAGTAGTGGAATATGTAAAACTTCGTTAAGGAACATGAAAAAGTTATTCAGTAGTGTAAAATATAAAGCTTAGTAAGTAGTGTAAAATATAAAGCTTAGTAAGTAGTGGAAAGTATAAATCTTAGTAAGTAGTGGAAAGTATAAAGCTTAGTAAGTAGTGAAAAATATAAATCTTAGTAAGTTGTGTAAAGTATAAAGCTTAGTAAGTAGTGGAAAGCATAAAGCTTAGTGAGTAGTGGAAAGTATAAAGCTTAGTAAGTAGTGAAAAGTATAAAGCTTAGTAAGTAGTGGAAAGTATAAAGCTTAGAAAGGAGGGGAAAGTATAAAGCTTAGTAAGTAGTGGAAAGTATAAAGCTTAGTAAGTAGTGGAAAGTATAAAGCTTAGTAAGTAGTGGGAAATATATAACTTAGTTTACTTTGTTATTTTCAAAATATGCATCTTTGTGAAATATATAAAGGAAATCAGCCGTCTTTAGCTTCACAGAAATAAATAATATTATTGTCCACAGGTTCTTTTGATTGTGACCTCAATACAATCGTAACATTTACACTATACACTTCTTTGCACTTAATGACTTTTGTTTTCAATAGATTGTGTTATGCTATCAATACCTACATGTAACCCTGGAACAGAACAGGTTATGTCGGGTTCAACATTTTGGGGCACTGCTCTTCAATTCATTTATTATAACCTGACACCATGACAGGACATCAGTTTGTGATGAAGATGAATATGTTGACGGAATACACATATGTATAGCGAGTTTAGGGTGATACGATTGATGAAATATTCAGAGAAAAAATAATGTAAGTATAGATTTGGTTGTAAGGAGACATTTCAGCTGGATTTATGATTTCGCTATTTTATGTTTCGTTTGTACAATCGGCATCAAATAGAATAAAACAAGGGACATAATGTTTGCTTTATAACATGTTCGCGAGTTATAGATTAAACAGTGTTAAAGTGATACTTATGATGTATTTTTGATACACGACAGATACGAACGTGTCATCGCCTTGAAGACAAATAACACAGACCTTAAGGTGTTGCTGTCTGTTGGTGGTTGGGCGCAGGCCAGTGAAAGCTTTTCCTACATGGTGTCAAGACCCAAACGTAGGAGGGCTTTCGTCAACTCTAGTATCGAATTTTTGCGTTCTTATGGCTTTGACGGACTTGATATAGCTTGGTTGTACCCAACACAAAGACAAGGGGCTGCCGAAACAGACAAAAGGAATTTTGGAATTCTTGTCGACGTAAGTATGCATTGAAATCATGTTTTTTGCATATTATATGTACATATACATTTCTTTTTCCAATACAAAATCTACTTTTCTCTGATAAAGTTTGTCATTATAGTATTTATCCTATTTTCTCATCACATCAAAAATCACCAATCCCCATTTCAAATCTCTGATATCTTGATTGCTCTCAATTCTTTCTATATTAAAAGAACTTGAATATATCCTACTCTTCATTATGAACTCTCTCCAGGCGAATTTAGGATTTTTGGTAAATGATAAAATATATCTTTATATATAATTTGACAATACACTTTTTTTTCGATGTTTATGTAGTTATGTGGACCTGAAAGTGACATGAACCTACATTTCATCTAAGTTCATATAGCTTTCTCAGGTCCATATAACCAAATACTCACCCCATTAACAATCCGTATTCAATTAATATATTATTAATCTAGTTAGATAATATAACTATGTGTCTCTCCTCATTTTTGTTTTTGAAAATTCGCTTTTAATTTATGTTTTCGAATGTTAATCTTTGTGGCTTCATATTCTGTTTTATCTTTGTTTCTTTTATTCCGCCAGTTACTCAGACGGACATATGAAGAAGAGGCGCGAAATAACAGCATACCTTGCCTGTTGTTGACAGCTGCAGTGGCTGCGGAACAGGAATATATTGACTACGCATACGACGTTAAGGCCCTGGCAAAGTAGGACTGCAATTAAAATTATCACGATCCATCACATCTAATTAAGTTATGTGACTGTTTTTGCGCTAGCTGAAAGGTTATTAGCCATACTGGAAATCACAACAAGAATTTTTGCAAGTTTTCCAGCAAAACAATTATGTTGATATTTTTGTGTATTTGACAAGATATAGCACGGGATGCGAATTCGATAATTCTTAATTTGACTGACCAAAAAGTGTTTTATAAACTTAATAAAGCTGAAGCGGGGATATGTAGTTAATGGGGCGGGGGAAGAGTGAGTTTAGGACTAGCCAAAAATGAATTCATCTTTTTACAACGAAGACAATACCACCCCCCCCCCCCCCCCCCCCCGATAACTTTTCGTCAAGTGAAGCAACATTTATTTGGACATTTGGTAACCCTAATACCTCGACCTGGGGTTCCTTACCGTCAAATATATCTCGAAAGTAAGCCCGTTTAAAATATAAGCTGGATTGATCATTCAACCCAAGACCGGTATATTCCTTCTCAGAGTACTAAATTACCCTGAAAATTGTCCGTATATATCCCTATCGCTGTTTTTATCGATTCACAAAAACTGGTCCTCTCACAATACTCATAACGCCGAAAATAAGTTAAAGTAATATGGTTTGCATCAATTTAAATAACATTGGTTTGCGCCAATTTAACCGTTTCTTTTAAAGCAACTCGCAAACAGTAGTACAAAATGTCTAGGGCAAAACGACGGAACAGTAACTTTTAGCAATTAACAGCAATGAAGTGTATCCTTTTTAAGGTAATTAAAATGTGTTTTTTTCTGTTTATTTTAGAAACTTGGATTTCCTCAGTATCCAGACGTTTGACATGCGTGGCTACTGGGACATGACGACCTGTCATCACAGTCAATTAAAGGCGTTCCCTTGGGAAACCGGAACTGAGGGTAACCTAAATATGGTATGTTTTGAACATGATTGTGATTAAAAATAAACTAAAGATATCTAATATCTAAATGAGAACTTAGAAATATATACATGTATATTCCACCTTTTTGAAATATAAAAATGAATATTGATGTTTGCAATCAGGTTGGTTAATAATACGTCAAATGTTCATCCAAGTATCAAGAATACCAGCATCTCGTGATTTAGTTTCAAGACCCCCCTCATTATTATTGTAAAATGTGTGATATCTGTGTATAATCATATTTTGATATAACATATTATTTATTCATATTCAAAATCTTTGATTCATATTAAAAAACTCTTGAAAAAAAGCCGCTTCAAACAGTCCTTCAGACTACACATGAAACAAAAAGCACTGGACAGCACGAAATTTCAAATACAAATATAAATAAAAAGATTTTTAATAAAAATCGCAAGTTTTACAATATTACTAATACTTAAAAAACAAAAAAGTATTCAAATATAATTCCAAGATTCAGAACATTATAGAGATATTGAAATAATTCAGCTTTTGACAAATCATGTTAAGTCTAGATTTAGACATTGCTTTGAGTTATTGAGAAGTAATACGTGTAAGCATAAACCTTTTTTATTTGACATGAATTTCTATTGCAATTATATTATTCAACATACAATCTTCCCATCAGATTTGGTCAGGCAAATATTGGCAGATGCTTGGAGTCGACAAAGACAAGATAAATATCGGTATTGCTACGTACGGGCGTGGTTTTGAACTGTCATGGTCTGGTGAAAATGGTTTCGGAGCTTGGGCTGATGGACCAAACCAATCAGGGCCCTTCACTGATGAGGAAGGTTTTCTAGCTTATTACGAGGTTGGTGTTTTGAAAAAAAGTGTTTAAAAACCTATTTACCCTTCAATTACGCCATGTCCCCCACTTGAATTTAATTTCAAATGCCGTGACCTAGATTCCTTTCATTAGGTTTCGTGTTCCCATGTTGATTAAAAGATACGGTTGTGACTAACAGGTGAATGGCAAGTGTAAACATGGTTTGTTTGTGGTAGATATGTCCACTGGTTGAATCTGGAGATGGCAAGGTGGTGAGACAGTCTGGGGTTCCCTATTATACCAACGACACCCTGTGGATTGGGTACGATGACGAAATGAGCGTTGCAAACAAGGTATGACATTCTAGGTAACATATTTAATGGTGGGCAGTTGTTACGGCGATAATCCACTTAATAGACCAATTAAACTACAGTTCAACTCGACAAAATTATAATATTTTTCTTTCACATTAATGTTCATCTTTATTTCATTATTTCAGACAAAATAGGATTCAATAATCAACCTTCGGGATATTTTTAATACTAATAGTACTATTAGCTAATGTCTTAAAAGAACCTGATATAACAGTTAAAGATTTATTCTACTATTCTTTTTTCTGTTTTTCATATCTATAAATTCATAATTGTAAAAATAAATAGATAAATAAACATATAAATTCGGCTGCAATTCTGTCTATGTTTTGGCATTTTTTTTCTTGGCCAATAATATTTGCTATTATTCAAATACCGTCTGTCAGAATTTATGAAACATGATGCTAGTCACCAGTCTGTGGTTGGGATCAGAGTTTATGTTAAACACAGTGATGAAACTCTAGGGGGTTGAGGGACGGGGCTTAAAACGTTTTCGGAATTCAAAATGTTCACAAAACATCTTTGCTGAACCTATGGATAGGTTTTAACAAATATTAAATAAATTCGAAAATAAATGTTTCGCTGTCTTTTCCTTATTTTAACCTTTATTATCGAATTGTCTCATTAATTATAAGCTACCAACATTCGGTTGTTTGGCATAAAACCAGCTGTTGTCAGTAGGATACCTGCATATCTATTTAGTTAACAACTGCTCAGGTTAATAAAACGTAAACTTTAATATCGAAAGTTGTTATGATGCAATAATGCATCCACATTTTGTTTAGAAATTGTGATGGTCAATGTCCTTATGCCTCTTGTTGCATTCAGGAGAAAATATTAATATCATCTCCGCTGTTCACTCAGAGGCCCATAAGATGGGGCGGAAAGTTGGAAAATAATCCAGATTTCACAAATTGTCTTTGCTTGAAATATACGTAAACAGAACGAGTTTGCTCAGGGAAAAGGCTAAATCAGGAATATTCATTAAAAAATGTATTTGATTTTTCAATACTTTGTGTATTATTACATCTTTCTCTCAGAAGACCTTAAATGCCCCTTTAACTCTTGTTTTGAGACTGACCGGAAAGGACAAAATGGCAAACAGTTTGTACGCATCTTGAATTTAAAATTGTTACAGCTATTTCTACTTGACAGTCCTTTCGCAAACATCATATGTATATTCCTTTTTATCCTTGATGAACAAACCATAAAATCTCAAAATTTTAAAGTTGAATTTTTTCAACATTAATTTTTAAATGGGTCCTACTCCGAATTTCCTGGTTCGGTTCTGAATTATACATATTTCATTTAACTAAAGATCTTGAATTTGACAGAAGTGGGTTGTTTAAGTTAAACGTCATAGTTTCAGTATTTTTATGCAAAATGGGAAAATACACATTTTTTAATGTTTAACGCAAAAAGAGTCAATATATGATTCATTATATTCCGATTGTTTCGACCAAGTAAGAAACATCTGAATGAAATTCTCCCTTAAAAACCAAAAGGTTAGTATGAATGCGATGCATTTTCAAACATGTTTCTTTTTTTTATTTTCGTATTTATTTAAGCAGTGAATGATTTAGTAAAAGTTGTTATAGTCTCACAACAACATTTGCCTTCTCAATACATTGCAATGGAAGGATGCAGAGCAAATGTAACTATATAAGTATAACCCTGGTTCACAGATGCAGTGGCTGGTAAAGGAAGGATATGGTGGCGCGATGGTCTGGTCTCTTGACTTGGACGACTTTCAACAGACGTGCGGATCTGCAACCAAATCTCCTCTACTTACTGCAATAAAGGACACACTGACCGGTTTCACAAATGGCTCACTCACAACACGAGTTACAGAAGAAACAACATTCGAATCAACGACAATGTCTTCCACAACAACGCCAGGACGTAAGCATCAACACTAGTGTTTACTTGTCTACCCCGTACAGTCTTGTGGTAACTTTTCTACCCTGTACAGTGTAGTGTTTACATGTCTACCCCGTACAGTGAAGTGTTAACGTGTCTACCCCGTACAGTCTAGTGTTTTCTTGTCTTCTCCGTACAGTCTAGTGTTAACTTGTCTACCCCGTACAGTCTTGTGTTAACTTGTCTACCCTGTACAGTGTAGTGTTAACTTGTCTACCCCGTACAGTCTAGTGTTTTCTTATTTTCCCCGTACAGTCTTGTGTTTACATGTCTACCCCGTACAGTCTCGTGTTTACATGTCTACCCCTTACAGTCTAATGTTAACTTGTCTACCCCGTACAGTCTAGTGTTTACTTTTTTTACCCGTACAGTCTATTGTTTACTTTTCTTTCCCGTACAGTCAATTGCTTTCTTTTCTTCCCCGAACAGTTTACCGTTACTTGCAACCGCGGTACAGATTATTGATTATTATTCGTTATCGTTCAGCCTAATATTTATTTGCATTTGTGCTTTATATTTTCTTTCCGATTTATTTTTAGCACACATTGACTGCAGCATGAAACAAATGGACGAACCATACGAAAACCCCAGAAACCCCAGAACCTTCTACAAGTGTTCACATGGCACAGCTTTCTTGTACTGGTGTCCAGCAGATTTGGTGTTTAATTCGACATTGATGGCGTGCGACTACAATACAAGCTAATCAGCAATGTCACGATATCCTAGCTTATCCGTTATACATTTTACAATTGTTATATGATGCTACGTGTGATTTATTTTAAATGGTGTGATGACCACGATATATAAATATAAAGTGTGAACAAATCATTAAAAGGCATTTCACATTTTGTTTTCTTTTTCTGTCATTTTTGAATTTATTCAAAATCAAGTGACAATCCAAAAATTCAATGCAACTATGTCTACCTATATACCTATATACCTGCCTACCTAACCACCCACCCAAACATACCAATCTACCTACTAACCTATTTATCTACCTACCCAGCCGACCAACCTATAAAACATATTTACCTATCAACCCAACCTACCTAAACACCCATCTAAACTTACAAATCTACCTTCTAACTTAACTATATACCTATCCAGCCGACCACCCTATAAAACCTATCTACGTATCAACCCACCCTACCTCATCACCCACCCAAACATACCAATCTACATACTAACCTATCTATCTACTCCACGCCGACCACCCTATAAAACCCATCTACCTATCAACCCACCCTATCTAACCATACACTCAAGCATACCAATCTACTTACTAACATATCTATCTACCTAACTTGCCGACCACCCTACAAAACCTATCTACCTATCAACCCACCAAACCTAATCACCCACCCAAGCATACCCATCTACCTACTAACTTATCTATCTACATTCCCAGCCGACCACCCTCTAAAACCAATTACCTATCAACCCACCCTGCCTAACCTACCCGCCCAAACATATCAATATACCGAATAACCTATATTTCTACCGACTCAGCCGACCACCCTAAAAAATCGATCTACCTAACAACCTACCAAACCTAAACATCCATCCAAACATGCAAATCTACCTACTAACCTATTTATCTACCTACCAAGTCGACCACCCTATAAAACCCATCTACCTTTCAATCCAACCTATCTAACCATCCAACCAAAAATACCAATATACCTTCTAACCTTTTTATGTACCTTCCCAGCCGACCACCCTATACAATCTATCTACCTACCAACCCATCCTACCTAACCACCCACCCAAACATACCTATTTACTTTCTAACCTAACTACCTTCCTAACCAGCCAACCCCCCTATAAACCCTATTTTCATCTATATAAGTTCTCTCCTTAGGTTGACATGACAAAGACAAAGATGAAACGGTTAGTAAGAAAACCCCCGATACCAATCTACCTACTAACCTATCTATCTATCTATTATCTATCTATCTATCTATCTATCTATCTTCTATCTATCTACCTACCCAGCCGGCCACCCTATACAACCTATCTACCTTTTAATCCACCAAACCTAATCACCCACCCAAACATATCAATCTACCTACTTACCTTCCTATCAACCTAGCCTACCTTATCTACCCACCCACCTTAGGCCACATGAGTCGTAATACAACTGTTATCTGTTGTGGTTTTGTGACTACACAAAGAACATTAAATAAAAATCTGTCTTTTCCGACTGGATTTTCTATCAACTTTTGTTGTGTATCGACCAACATTTACCATATACACTGCTGATATTCGTCACAAAACAGAAAAGAATCACATTTATGATTCACCATCTCCTAAAATGGAGAATAGTGACCCTTGAGTTATGAGTTCGCCGTTTTGAAATAGCACCTTAGTATCTTTCATCCACTAAGAGTAAATGATTCTAGCATAGCTGTGTCTAAGAAAAAAGATTTAAAAACAATAACCAATCTGCTTAAATCATTGGTAATACACTAATATATATATATTTACATACATTTTACAATAGACGATGTAATACACTTAAATTACATCAATTACAGTGCAGGTAATACAATATACTAAAAGAACAGCTAATACAATTCTCTGACTTCACAGGTCATATGGTAGACTAAATTTACATGTAAATCAATGTACCTACATTATATTTCATACTTATTCATTAAGGTGTTAACTCCATTAAAATAAAAGGTTATATAATTTAATTGTATAACATGATATATATCAAATAGTATAGTGCAGTCTAGTACTTATTGATTAAGGTGGTAACTCCATTAAAATAATAGGTTATATAATTTAATTGTATATCATGTTATATATTATATAGTATAGTGCAGTCTAATACTTATTCATTAAAGTGTTAAACTCCAATAAAATAATAGGTTATATAATATAAATGTATAATGTGTTATATATCATATAGTATAGTACAGTCTAATACTTATTCATTAAGGTGTTAAACTCCATTAAAATAATAGGTTATAGAATATAAATGTATAATGTGTTATATACTATATAGTATAGTGCAGTCTAATACTTATTCATTAAGGTGTTAAAGGGACATCACGTGAAGAGCCATATTTTTTTAATGAATGTATGTATTTTATGCACTTCCACTTATGTTACCTCGCTACCCCCATATTCATAGTCCGTTCCAAATGTCCAGTTTGACCGCTTGAATTGTTCGGGAAAGCCCTGCTAAAAATAGCACCTATAACGTTACCTGTCTAGGCAGTAAACGTAAGTGGTCTGAGCGAGATGAAACGGTTTCCAAAGGGGCCCCCAGAGAGGGGACGTCAGGCGACTGCAACTTCTTACTGCACTATGCAACCAAGTACATGTAATATGATTTCTAAGTCCGTATTCAAACTTATTGAACAGTAATTATTCATCATCAGAAGTTAATTGCACGCTTGCCAATATTCAGAATTTTAAATTTATTTAGCTTTTAACAAATTTGTTGCCAATAAAATTGAACAAGGGATGGGGCACAAGTTTTTACAATTTATCACAGCCTTCTCCCGTCATACATTTACAATTAAATGTCAATAATGATAAGAGGCATAAACTTAAAGTAGATATATATAAATATATATTGAATTTATTACCGGAATGTGACCGGTACAGATGGTACGGGGCTAAACACCTTCCCTCAACTATGGGACATTCCTTTCTGTAAAAAGGAACATTCACGAGACGAATATCCCTTTTCAAATGTTTTCATAAAGTGCATATATGCAATGACAAACTACACGCGTATAAAAAAGAGAAACGTTTGTGGATTTTCTACAACATTGTACAACTCAATGTCTTTCGCCAATTTTTTTTTCTAGACCATGCACATAAATGTATGTATACTCTCTTTCCCACTTTCACTGTCACTTAGTAAGTCATATTAGCCAACAAACACAATAAACTATATGGCAATACCACTACGTGTACATGTAGAATATGTGCAAGATATGGAACGTGTTGAGATACTTGATAATTATATTTTTTCAATACTTTACATAGATTAAATCATTCTTGTCAATGGACCCTTTTTATGTTGAGACAACTTTTCTTTAATCATTTCTTTTTTGTCCGAAACAGAAGCCGAAGTTATCGGCAGCACGCGTCATTTTTACAACGTAAACAAATGTTTTCCCCCTGTTTTCAATACGTATTCCGATTCTATCTGAAGTCGAAATTTATTCTTTATAGAGAAAAGGTTGTTGCATGATAATGCATTATAAGTCAACATCATATGAAAACATGAACTGTAACAAAAATACGATTAAGAAAAAAATGTTATGCGATCCAATTTACTAGAAGTAGGTTCTCCTTCCTCAGTTATTCATCCTGGTCCGTCATTTTTACATTTTTAATCAAGCTGCGATAACGTAGCTTTCTGACTAAGAGCGATTTGTTTTATATACTGCGTCGTCGCGCCAGAAGAGGCCGGGTATTCATATTAGTACTAATTTAAATTTTGCATATAAAAATAAAAATAATAGTTTAACTCAGCAATATAATTAAAACATACCATTTTACTGAACCCGATAATATTATAAATTATGTAAATCTAATAGCGCACGTATCTCATTTGACCCCGAGGAGAGAACAGAATACGCCGTGGCCATCACAACAGTTATCCCATGGGGGCCTCATGGCAAAATCAAACTAACCAGTCACTTATCCTTTCCTTTCGCATAAACCACTGTATAATCATAGAAACACAAAGTAAACTCTCTCCGATACATGTCCATTAACATATTAAACTAAGTTCATCTGTGTTCAAACTCAGACAAATATACTAAGCGAGGTTAATAGTTTTAGATATTTATTCATAACATAAACAGCATTTCTGTCGATTCCATTTCAGCTTTAACCGGCTATCCGGAAGAGTACATGCACCTTACTAACTGCTAGGGAAGTTATTTTCTCATTTGAATACTTCCCACCTGCAATAATGATTCCGTAATGTACTCCTTGCGCTATCTTTTGACCATTTGGCAACTTTTCGCTTCGTAGCTGACACGGTACAACACTTTTCTTTCGCTTACTTCACGCGGCCAGTCATTTTGTTTAAAAAGAAATGGTGTGCTATACGCATGCGCTAGTAGAGGGAAATCCCTGAATAAAACGTTGGTCAGACAGGTAAAAATACCGATGATTATCTAAGATTTAATCATTTTTATGAATCTATTCCAGTCGGATCCGATCGTTATTTTCCAAACGGAGTCTCACTTGATATGTTTATGTAGTATTTGAAAAATAAGAAGAAAAAAAGTTACTTCACCGTGATGCCCTTTTAAACTCCATTAAAATAATAGGTTATATAATATAAATGTATAATGTGTTATTATATATTATATAGTATAGTCTAGTCTAATACTTATTCATTAAGGTGTTAAACTCTAAAATAATAGGTTATATAACATAATTGTATAATGTGCTATAAAGTCTAATACAATCTACTAACAGTAGTGTGACTACAGTCTCGTAATTTACTAATCTGATAATATTGTGCTACTCATTTCTGGACGTTTAGCAAATGGTTATATTGTAACAGTTGATGTGAAGTCATATGGAAATATTCAGATGTATGCTTATGATATTATTGTATTGGGACTCTCTATATAATATCCCCTTCAGCGCCAGCCAGCGATCATTGGACAAGCGCGTGCATGTTTTGTTCTTAAAAAACTGTACACATGTTACGTTCTCCTAAACGTTTCCTCCATGTTCAAATATAAGTCAGTGTGTCGCGTGCGACTTTGGTTCCGTCGACTACTAGTACAACTATGCATACACGCATCTGAATATTTCCATATGACTCCACATCAACTGTTACAATATAACCATTTGCTAA